GTGCGCGCGGCTTCGCTGCGCTGTGAGCAGAGACCTGGCGCAAGCCTTGCGGCCGCCACCCCTGTCCTTGCCAATCTCTCAATGCACGTGCAAAGCAGGGCCCTAGCATCGTCTGACAAAGTGGGAGCCGACTTGTGCCCTGACTCAGGCGGCGGCCTGAGCCGCTGATCAAAAATGCAAATCAGTGAAGAAAGAAAATGACTGCGGTGAGCGAGGCTCAGCACGGCAACCGCCAAGCAAACCATCTGACTTGTTAGACTGCTGCGAGCGGCCGCTGCTCCGGAGCACTCAGCCGGCTCAGCAGATCAGCATGATCAAACGTCAGATCGGTGCTGTCGCATGCCATGGTAGAGACCCTTCTCCGGAGGGCCAGAAGGTCATGAACTGGATCTCCTGCAACCACTGTAAGAGCACCAGGGTCTTGTACACGGCGCCTCTTCGCAGGGCCCTTCTTCGTGTTGCCCTGGCTGCCGACAGCGCAGTCCCGCCACAGCCTCTTGTACAAGGCCTCTAGTTTGAGGCGCTGCGCCCGAAAATTGTCAGTGCAGTGGAACCTGGGGCAGCTTTGGAGCAAGGATAACCCTGCTTCCAAGCGCGTGGCTTTGATCTTCCAAAGCAACGCTTCCAAAATGGGCTCCAGGGTTCGCCAGCCCTCGCCATCGGTTGCTTCCGGCACTGCCAGCAAAGCCCCGTCCACTCCTGTGAACGCCAAAATGGCGTTGTAAGGCCTCTGCCGTGCGCCTTTCCCAGAAGCGCATCAGCCTTCCAACAATTCGCTTGTTTAATTTGTAGTGGCCATCGTGTCGCACACCTTGGGCACTGTAGAGGCAGGCCAGCTTCTGCAGTGTCTCCACCATTGCAGCCACGGGGGCGGACAGCGCCTTGCGAAGGATGCTGCGCACTGCCTGAAAGCGCTTTGCGTTTGCATAAGTCGGCGGCGAGCTAGGCTCAGACCGCGTACAGGTATGTTCACTCACGAGCCGGTTTGATACCCACGGTCAGGTGCCCCCAAATAGTAGATGTGATTACTTTCAATAAATTAAACGCATTTCTGACCTCTCCCACGCCTTTATAGTCATGAATGTCTCTTTTTAGAAATTTGGTACCCCAGTTTTGTAGCTTTACAGGGAAAAAGGAAAACCAAAATTTTGAGCTCCCTAGAAAAAGACACCCAGTGGTTTTCCGGGGCCCAAGATTTGGCATTCCTTTCTTGAGCACGCAAGGAGCAAAGGCATTGGCGACCAAGCCGCTGGGCTCTTGGGCATGCTTGCGCACTGTACACCCAGTGTCCAAGGAGCCACGCCGCGGGCTTCTTGGCTTGCAGCAGACGCCAGAACACTTGCCGAAAAGATACTAGCCAGCTGGCGTCTTACGTGCCTGGCATTGATGTTCTCGTAGAAGATCAGGCACGCCTCCAAGAGAAAGCGGGATGTCAGCCAGTGTTCCTTCTGCTTTTTGGCCTGCATGACATCCCGGCAACAAACTGCCCTCCAAGCCCCATCCCTAACGCTGAGAAAGTGCAAAACACAGTCCAAACTCATTGTTTAGGGAGGACTTGTGAACTGAAGCGTCGGCTGCGCGGCCCAAATCTACATCTTGCGCCTTGTGTCGCATGGCGCCCGGGACGGCCAGTCGAACATCTGCAGCAGTGACCGGGAAGTACTGACGAACACCCCGAGCCGCGCCCTCTCTTGCGCAGGTCTGACACCGCCAGGGCCGACGATCTAGCGCCATAGGATAAGGCAAGTCCCAAACCCAAAGCGGCTCCTGAGACCTCTTGTTGCCCCACACTGCCACGCGATGTCCCCATTCTTCAGCATGAGCGGATGCCGCTTGTGGCCGGATGTGTCGCACCGCTTGCGCCTGCCTCGGCGCGGCAGCAAAAGGCGAGGTCGCGTCGGCCTGGCCCTGCAAGCAAGCCGCTGCCACCTCCAAGGGGCGCGTGTCTTGGCCTGTGCCGGCCACCTCCAGCAACAAACGCTGCGCGTTTGCTTGCACGATGTGGAAGTAAAAGCGGACATTGCTAAGAGCATCTGCTGACACAGTCTGCAGCTTGCCTAAAGTGAACCTGCTGCCATCCCGCTGGGCGCGAACCAGGCCAATGTCTGCCATGACAGCCCCCCTGAGCATGAAGGTGTCCAAGATGTAGCAAGGCTCGCCGCGCAGGTCGGCAGACAGCCCCCTCTGCGGGCCTGGCCTGGCCACGGCTGCCGGAGCATCAAAGCGGAAGAGGTTGCAGCTCTGCAGCGCCAGCAGCACTTCACGCGTCCGCCCGCTGGCCAGCCGGGCAGCAAACTGACGCAGCGTAGGCTTGCTGCTCGTTAGTCTCTCGCCGATTGGGGGCGCAAGCTCGGCAGGAGCGGCTGGCAGCGCAGCCGCTGGCCGTCGGCGCATCTTCGCGGCCTGCGCTGGACCTGCGGGCCGGGCTCCAGCGCCGCGGCCAACGTTTACAACCTGGAGGCTGGAAAGCCGAGCTCGCAGCGGCAAGCCAGCGCTCAGCAACAACTAACACAGAACAGAGCGCGCCTCACTCTCAGAGTCCTCCGCTGCGGGCTCCTCTCCAAAGCGGCCGCCGATGACCTTCAAGGGAGCAAGGGAGCAAGCGCAGCCAAACAGAATGCGAGAGCGGAATGCCCGCTCCAGCCTGTCCGCCCCACCTCGTCCTCTGAATCCCATGCAGAAGCAGCTGCCATGTCACATGTCTGCCATGGCTACAGCGCGCCCAAGTCACTTGCTGCGCTGCGTTTCGCTGCGGGTCTTGTTTTTAAGCTCGATTATAAGCATGCAGCGGCGAGCGAGGCTCAGACCGCACAACATGCGTCTTATGACATTGAGCTACAGCAGCGGCCGCAGTCAGCACGATGCTTGCGCAATGTGAATCTTGCAAAACTGCTGCCTGTCCCGCAGCAGCACACCACGTCACGAAACGAATCGGAAGGCGTGCGGCCGTGTCGTGACTTTGGTCGTACAAAGCAGCATGACGGGCGCAGGCTGAGACCCACCAAAAATCATGTTTTTTGGTAGGCCCCCAAAAAATGTCCGAGCCCACGTCAAGAAGGCACCCGTAGAGACACCCTGACACCGAGACCTTCTGTGTAAGTTGCACCAACTTGCACCACGCAAGAAAGCTTCGCCCGTGCTCCCATCAAGCGCGCTGCTGCATCCAGCACCTCGGACCTTTGGTCGTACGAAGCAGCATGAACTGAAGTCAGTGTAATCGCTGTAACTGTACCCGATGGAGTCTGTGTGACAGCGTAGTCGGTGTGCCCGACGTTTTGGGTGTAGCTTGCATAACCGATGTAAACAGTGTATAACGGTGTAAAACGGTGTAAAACGGTGTAACCGGTGTAACCGGTGTAAACGGTGTAACCGGTGTAAACGGTGTAAACGGTGTAAACGGTGTAAACGGTGTAACTGGTGTAAACGGTGTAAACGGTGTAACCAGTGTAACTTTTGTACGAACACCTTCATGAGCAAGGGCTCTGTCCGAGCGACTTGTGTAACCGGTGTAAACGGTGTCACCGGTGTAAACGGTGTTTACCTTTCACGCGCAACAAAAGCGGTGTAACGGTGTAACGGTGTAACGGTGTTTGCCCGCCAACCAATGACACTGATTGCGCCCGCAATGTCCTGTGGTTCATGTTGTACATCAGGCTGAAGGAGCACAAGGCGGAGACCTGCCCGGCGCGGTTTGGGCGCGCGGTTTTGCGGCTTTTTTTGGGGGGGGGGAAATTCTTGGTGGCGAAAAAGGGGGGGCTTGGTTGGGAAAGGGGGGAGGGGGTGGGGGGGGAAAGGGGGAGGAGTACTCTTCGGACGAGTTCTCGTCTGAAGCAAGAAAGGTGATGGCCAGTTGCCTATGACAACACACCAGCCTTTTTTGTCTTAAAACACTTGAAGCCGGCCATCGCATGCGCATGGTTTAATTGAATCAGGAGAGCCAAAGTCTTTAGGCGGCCAAAACAAAGGGCTTGGCAGCCGTAAGAAGCAAAAGTTCACCCCTTACCTCCTAGGATTGTTGGGTCCAGGGGGCAGGTGAAACCTACTGCAAACAAAAACACTGAAAGGAAACACACACACACACAGCAGCTACCCGAGTCATGGAAAGCACGCTGGCCGCTGAACTGAACAGGTTTCGCAAATAAGTTGGGGATTGGGGCGGAGCCCCCATCCCAGGGATCCTTTTAAAATGCCCCCCCCCCGCCCCCCCCCCAAAAAAAAACAACAACAACAACAAACACACAAACAAAACATCTTTCTTCCGAGAACACTCATTTTCACCTAGGCCCGGAAGGTGATTTGGGTATGGTCAAAAAATAGAAAAACCACTAGGAATTGGATCGCAGGTTTTAGCCAACTTGTTTCTATCTACAGGGTTGCCTTATCTCAGATGCCAGTGGATTTCCACTGGAAAAACAGAGAATCGGCATCCTTTTTTGGTTGATTGACTTTAAAGGTAAACCCTTCTTCAACCAAAAACGCGAAAAAAGGGCGCCACTGGGCAACTGGGCGATTTTCGGCCACCACCCATTTGAAGCTCACCTGCCGGAACGAAACGTCTCGCAGCCTCCGTTGGGCCGTTTGGCGGCGCCCGAAGTCGCACCATTTTTTCGACTCCAATGCGAAGCGATGCGCAGACATCGTGGCGGCCATGGCTCTTCCCTACCAAACTTCCAGGCCATGCTTTAAGTTGCCACGAACATATCTCGGTGGCTTTGTGCTCCCCTGCAAAAGGTTCAACTTTTAGTGGTTTGATGGAAAACCCATTCGTTGGCAAAAAGTTAAAGCCCTAACATCTAAGCAAATGCACCAATGATATGGGGGTGGCCTCTTTTGAGGAAACCCGTTTTGGGGTTGGTTTCTTGGGAAACTGAAAGGACAAACACCAATTGCGGCTCCCCTCTTTTGAGACAGACCCGCCAGTGACCACAACCCTCGGCTCCTTTGGCCCCGCGGCGGAATCGGCTCACGAGAAGCTGGCCAAAAAGGCTGACGGAAAGATCTCAGATCTCGCCCAAGTTGACTTGGAACAGCTTGAAGTCCTGCGTCCCCGCAAGCATACCCAAGGGACAACTGTGTAAATACTGGTGGTTACATTATGTGGCCATGGGTCAAAATCCAAATCGTACCCCCAGTGCGCATCCCAATCCCCACTAAAATCGACTAAATGGGTGGTGCACCTGACCCCAAAATGGTACCATTTGTTTTGACCCATCAGCCATATGGATGTGTTCTTTTTCTGGACCCAACACGGTTGGTGTCCTTCTCTGGGTGTGGTTCCTTGACAGTTGGTGCCCTGCTTGAACCCGTTTTTTTGGGGGGGTCCCCTCACTTGCCTCTTTTGAGGTGTTTACTGATGGAATAGGTCCCATTTTGGGCGGTCCCCTGTGGTTTGTGGTGGGAGCTTTCTTTACAGACCTATTCGATAGTTATGGGGCAGGGCCCCCCAATAAAAAACCGTATCCAGAAAGGCTCTGAGAACCCTTCGATCGGAAGCCTTTCCATCCGAAGGTTCCTTGCGACTTTCTGGGGTGGGGGGCCCAAGGTTTCCCTTCTCAACCAGAGTGGCTTAGCTTTTCTTGAGGCTTGCGGAGTTTTCTGGGCTCAAGCTGGAAACGTTGGATCACCCGAGCCTTTTTAATCCGGGCGGGGTCAGTCTGAGCAAATCTCGGCGACCCAGAGAAAGAGACCTTTCGGAACCGAGCCTGGGCCCTTCTGAAAGGAGCCCTCACGCGTGGTTAAAATTATTGCTCGCTGTTTCCAGAAAGCCGATTTTTCCCCAGATAGCTGAAAGCTATAGGGGTTCTAACTTCTAATAAAGAGGGGGAAGTGATTTGCGAGATTGATGGGCTGGTGCTATGGGGCGTGCAGTTTGGGGTGCTGGCTTTTGCGGATTGGGGTGCTGTTTGAGGTGCTGATGGCAGTGCGGGCGCATCTTTTCAAGATTGACGGTAGGGTGCTAGGGGGCGTGCAGTTTGGGGGTGCTGGTGCAGGTGCTGTTTTGGGGGTGACGGTGCACGCGTGTTTTTGCATCTTGACGGTAGGGTGCATGCAGTTTGGGGTGCTGGTGCTGGTGGTGTTTTGGGATGCTGTTTGGGGAGCTGTTTGAGGTGCTGGTGACGGTGCGGGCGCAATTTGCGATATTGACGCGGGTGCTATCGGGCATGCAGGTGACGGTGCAGGCACATTTTTGCATCTTGACGGTAGGGTGCAAGGGGGCATGCAGCTTGGGGTGCTGGTGCAGATGGCGTTTTGGGATGCTGTTTGGGGTGTGGCTGGGTGTTTGGGGGGATGCTGTTTGGGGTACTTTTAGGGTGACGGTGCAGGCTTATATTTGCGAGATTGACGGCAGGGTGCAGGGGGCATGCAGTTTGGGGTGCTGCTGCAGGTGCTGTTTTGGGATGCTGTTTGGGGGGTGCTAGTGATGGCGCGGGTCGATTGACGGCCGGGTGTTGTTTGGGACGCTCTTCGGGGGGTGCTGTTGGAGGTGCTGGTGTGCAATCATTGCTATCTGGGGTCTATGCTGGTGTATTTCGGATTTTTTTGGTTTTTAACAAAATGCTACTTGATGGCACCCTGCAAGAAATTCACCCGGCCTTTCCAAAAGAGGTCATTTGTTTTTTCTCTGGCGCGCTTTTCTTTGGGCGTGTCTGGTGTTTTGATAACATGGATTTCGGCTTTTCCGGTTGGTTTCCAGAGCCACACCCATTAAGCGTGGCCATGCTTTTGAGTTGGTGCTCGGTGTTTTGAGGGTGTTTGGTTCCGCATTTGGAAGCCAAGTCAAACTGAGTGATGGGTCTTGGTTTTCCCTTAAACCACTCACTCCTTTTGGGGAGACCAGACAAAGGCGAACCAATCCGAAGAGGATTGGCACATCAGGTGACTGACTGCAATTGCGTTTTTCCCAATGGCAACCACTGCTTTTCAGCTGGCCAAGGGGAATTTGAGCATGGGAAAAAACAGCTGGAGGGGCGGGGTGCTGGAAGAGGGCACCCTGTCATGGCAAAAAACACAAAAGAGAAACCTAAATGGACCACAGGAGCTCACCAGGGGAAGCTTCCCCATCAACGCCCAACAGACGACGCTGGGGGGGTCGTTTTTCTTTGCGCACACGCCCCAAAGGTTGCCCGGGATGGGACCCAGACAGCTTTTCGGTGATCACATGTTGGGACCGATGCCTTCGAAACGTGTTGAGGTTTTCCCCCCACCCCACCCTCCACCTCCACCCCACCTCCACCCCACCTCCACCCCACCTCCACCCCACCTCCACCCCACCTCACCCCACTTCACCCCACCCCCACCTCTCCCGAGGGCGGGTCCTCCCTGCGCTGCCGCAGGCGCCTTTCGAAGTCCGCGAAGCCGGGCCGCGCCGCGGCGGCCCAGGCCACCTCCGCCAAGGCGGCTCCTCGCGGCCAGGCCATGAAGTCCAGGTTCCGGCCCCCCTCGCGGATGTACCTCAGCTGCAAACGCTGAGGAGGTGAGGAGGTGAGGGGGTGGGCGGGA